AAAGTCATAAGGCAGGTGGCAGCACCCCGCCCTTGTCGTTTGGCTGTTTTGTGTGGAGTGAAGCAAGTTGCAAGAAACACAGAGGCATATAATCTACCTGACTTCACATAGGTGCCTCTGTAGCCCAAATTGAAGTGTGGAATACCTTAAGAGTGGTGGGGCTTGCACACGTTGGCTACGTCTACACTGGCCCCTTTTCCGGAAGGGGCATGTTAATTTCAACTATCGTAGTAGGGAAATCCGCGGGGGATTTAAATATCCCCCGCGGCATTTAAATAAAAATGTCCGCCGCTTTTTTCCGGCTTTTAGAAAAGCTGGAAAAAAGCATCTACACTGGCCCCGAACCTCCGGAAAAAGCGCCCTTTTCCGGAGGCTCTTATTCCTACTTTGAAAAGGGCGCTTTTTCCGGAGGCTCGGGGCCAGTGTAGATGCTCTTTTCCGGCTTTTCTAAAAGCCGGAAAAAAGCGGCGGACATTTTTATTTAAATGCCACGGGGGATATTTAAATCCCCCGCGGATTTCCCTATTGCGATCTCTGAAATTAACATGCCCCTTCCGGAAAAGGGGCCAGTGTAGACGAGCCCATCCTGTCATTGACATCTCCCATTAACTAGCTTAGGTGGCACCATATCTAGCATGCTGGCTTTGTGGATCACCTTAGGTGTCTTATCTCTCCCCATGCATTGTAAAGGAACCTTAGGCATTTAACTCAGTCTTTGTGGATTGCAGTGTATTCCTGTGATTTTTCTAGGATCCTAAGAATTAAGTTCCATGACACTCAGTGCCTATCTACTTGGTCACGTTATTGCGCTGTAACTTTCTCACTCGGGGTGTGAAGAAATACACCCCTGAATGTAGGAAGCTGAAACAAGCTCCCATCGCTGGGAGTCACGCTCCCACTGGTATTAGCTACTCCCCTCATAGAGGTAGTTTACCTACAGCTGAAACAAAATACAGGACTATGTAGCGCACTAAAGACTAACAAGATGGTTTATTAGATGATGAGCTTCCGTATCCTTTGGTATATATGGTTGTGACTATTTTCTTCCACTATTTGATCTGAGGAAGTGGGTCTGACCCACGAAAGCTCATCATCTAATAAACCATCTTGTTAGTCTTTAAAGTGCTACATAGTCCTGTATTTTGTTTCAGCTACACCAGACTAACACGGCTACATTTCTATCACTATTTTACCTACAGCTGTGACCACATTAAAATGCTGCCATAGCTGCACTTTAAACTTAGAAGTGTAGACAGAAATCTCAATGTTTCACTGCTTTGCAGATCAGATCCTGATTCTCTCCACAATCAGCAGTGATTTCCCTTGCCCTTTGTCCTGTCCTCCATCTGTGTGCTGTGTCAATTTGCATTCACCTTGTAAACTCTGCCGGCCAGGGGCGGACTGGCAATCAAAATAGGCCAGGGAAATGGGTTGAGAACGGCCCACTTTTTCACATCAAAGAATTTTTTAAAAATTTACTTTTTGACCCCCCCATTAGCCACACCTCTGACCCCTGTTAACCACACCCCTGACCCCCAATTAGCCACACCCCCTGACTCCCATTAGCCAGGCCTCTGGAGGTAACATTCTCGGGGCAAGATGGACACATGACCAGAAGTAAAAGGTGTCATGTGACACCTCTCTAAGGACTTTTCCCACCATCCTCCTACCAGTACGGATTAGTTTGGCCCCCAACAAACCCCCCTCATGCAACTATCCTGCAATTGCATTAACCCAATGTGTGTGACATTAACTCAGGGTCAGAGAGGGCGGAGAGGTTGGGGGAAGTGTTTCCTCTAAGAGTTTCCTCCCATGAGCAGAATGAATTTTGTGTTGTGCACCAGTACGAAGTTCATGTGGCTTGTTTGGATGTGCCACTGTGGCGCCCAAGTTATTAATGAATATCTTATAAACCTCTACCTTTCCCTCTGCTGCCATGTCTCCTCCCCTTGCTCCATCAGCTCCCCTGGTTTCACTGCCCTCCTGAGACCTGCCCCCCTCCACCAGCCCTTCTCTCCCCCCTATGCCTATTCCTCCAGTAGCCACACTCTGTTCATGTGAGTTACCCTTCCTCGTCCCCTCTCCTAACACCTCCCTCTACACACCTGCCCTGCCTCTCTCCTCTGGTGCTGGTCCCTCCCCTGCAGGCGTCTGCCCTTCTGCTTCACCCCTGGCACCTGCACCCTCCTGGTGCCTTCCCTTTCCCTCACTGTCCCTGCCCCCTTTGCCCTCTTTTTCCCTGATTCCCACCTCCTCACCACCCTCTGCCCCCATTTCCCTTATGCCCCTCTGTGCCCTCACACATGACTTGCTCCATCCCCGTCTTCCTCATGCCCACCCCTTCTTTCAAGCCTTCTCCCAGCACCTCCTCCTTCCCCTCTAGCCCCCAATGCCCTTACCCTCTCCCCTCCCAGCATCACCCTGTCCCCCCTCCCACTGACACCTCCCCTCCTGCCCTTTTCCTCATTGTCTCCACTTGGCCCCCTGGCATTTGTCTCTTTTCCATGCTTTCCCTTTCTGCCTTCCCCTTTCTTCTCCTGCCCTGCCCCCCCTCCCCTCAGCACAAGCCCCTTTCTCTCCCACCCCTTCCCCCTATTTTTCCCGCATCCCCTCCCCCACTTTCTGCCGTCCAGTTTGCGGGGCTGGAGTCTGTGATCGGGGCCCCAGAAGTCTCCGCAGCCCTGGCCCCAACTGCTTCCGAGGCTCCAGACCATGTGCCGGGCCTGGAGCTGGGCCACGGGGTGCAACTCCGGGCCAGGTGGTTTTAAAGCCCCGGGCCGTGACATCACACCACGCCCAGGCGTCTCCCCTCTCAGCTGTTGTGTGGCATTTGAGCACGCTGCACATATGCTCCCTCGGCCCCACCGTACCCAGTACACGGCCGGCACCGGGGAATTTAAAGTGCGGGGCTATGGTGCCCCGTCACAATCCCCCTCCTCCTCCAGCAGCCACCAGCCAGCCCTTTGGAGGACGGCCCACCGGGAAATTCCCGGTATCCTGCCGAGCCAGTCCACCCCTGCTGCTGTCAGACGACCAAGGTTTGTGACATCTGTGATACTCTGACATCATTATCAATTATCTATTGTTATTCCTGGATATTTGTAGATATAATTTCTTTCTAAGACATCTTTGAATCTCAATAACAGTGTCAAGGTTATCAGAAGACCTGCAATGATCCATGTAATTTCCCAGTCTTTTGCAGACACTACACAAAAATGTGTAGTCTGTCAGGATTTTGCAAAAAGTCTAGAGAGGAGCTTCTGAAATTATTAGACATTTAGGGGTTGGGTGTGAGTTTTAATCTGAGAAAAGATTAAAAAGATGAGGGGCCAGATTAGTTCCTTGGCCTTCCTGAGCAGAAAGAATGAAACCCTCATGGATCTGGCCTAGAGAGATTCATGGAGCAGTTTCTGCACTTCCTTTTCCAAATGCACATAAATGCATTGTTGAGCTCAGGCTCGGTACTTAAGAGAAGAATCAGGATAGCTGATGCTGGAGGTGCTGTTCCTTTACCAGCTCCATGGGCATTCAGTGAATGGTTAATACCAGTTCTCCCATTGGAATAGCTAGGAGCTAATGGCCTAACCACAGTACTAAGAGACACAGCACCATGGATCAGTTCCCTCCATAGACTTATTGTGTGACCTTGGAGCAAGTCTCTTCTTATTTCACCAACTTGGTAAAGCATATTTAGGTATTAATTTGGTCAACCAGCTCCACATAAATGCAAATTATTATTATTATCTCTGTCACCACTAACCTACTCACAATTCCCCCCCACTGTCTAACACTCACTCTACATCTCCTGAGGGCAGGAGCAAGGTCAGTGACTGCTGGATAGTTCATACAGCCCACAATCCTGCATGTTCCCATAAAGGCAAGAGGCACTGAGCAGGTACATGGATGTCCCTGACTTAGAGGAATTTGTAGGCCATATCTCCTGTTAGCTGAGTAAGGGTATGCCATCCTTCTCCATACCCTCAGTGATGCAATTAGAAGATATCTGTAGAGTTCAGATCATTTCAAAGACAGCACAGTATGGAACGGAGAAAAGAAAGAAGTGACAGCAGAGATATTTTTAGGTATGAAATAAAGGAAATTTGAAAGGCCAACGCAGCATTTCTGTTTATTCCACAGAAATGTTATTCTGTAACACAACCACACATGGAATGAAAACATGAACCTAAACATGGAAATTCTTATGAACAAATCATACTATACACTTAAGACTTGCTACCACATGTAGCACTGGGGAAAATAGTTTAGAAAGATTATAAAGGTAATAGTTAACAAAAGTTCTCAAATCTTCATGCTTCAAGGCATCCACTGATTGCCATCTGGGGATAGAAGGAAATTGGCCCAGATGCTCTGCTCATTTAATGTAGTGTAGCGTCACTGAAGTCAAAAAGCTACACCAGCTGTGGTTCTGGCCCATTAACTCACCTATGACATGTTGCATGGGCATATAAGTTACTGGTGGCATTTCTCTGCCATCTGATCCACTGGCTATTGGCTGCTGTCAGGAAAAAACACACTGTTATCGTTGGACCATTGCTCTGTTTCAAGATGTATTCTGCCCTGCATCGGATAATGAGCCTCTTAGCCTGGTCCAAAGACTTGTACTACCACATCTACACAGTTATTTTTAGTCAGTGCTTAATTTGTAATGAAAAAGGTGCTGCAGCTCAAGCAGTCAGGTCCTGGGACTCAAACTGGTTTTGTTTTATTTATTTGTTTGTTTGTTTATTTATTTTTTCTTTCATAACTGACGTGGCAAGCTCATAGTACCAGGGCTCAGCCTGGCACAAATTAAGCACTGTTTTAGAACACTAAAGTATGTTAGCCCTGCTGCCGTACGTCTGTGGATCGGTGCTGAGAGGCTTGCCCTCGTATGTAGTGTAGACATACCAAGTGGAATGTCTGACAGGAGTTTGTTTTTGTCCGAAGTGTTACTTATTAGGACAACCTAAAGGCACTAAACACCCTTTTTCTCTTTTTAGATCTGACAAACATTCCTCCCATTGAATCTCTTTGGAGCAATAGCCCTTTGGTGCCCAGAACACTTTTGTCATCCTTGCTTGAGAAACCAGCCCAGAATTCTTTTCTCCTTGGCATGGGTGTTAAGCAGGAGTGTCAGGGAAGAGCAAAACATGTTCCCCCTACACCAACTACGATTCTTGTTGACGAAGCCTCCCTTGCAAAAGAAGCCAGTAAATCACTGTCCTCCCAGAACATGCTGAGGGTCATTCCCGATTCATCGAATTGGAAGCCCACTGTAGAGAAAGATGCATTCTGTACTGTAATCTCTGACACCAGCTCAGGATGTCCTGATCCCACATTACAGGACCCTACAGTTGAGTCCACAAGTGTCCTTGATGCCCTGGCTTTCCAGTCTTCCTTGGGGAGAAACCAGAACTCTCTTAGCACTTTAGAGCAGAGGGCATCAGAGCTGGGCAACTCCTCAGATGAGCTAAGTGCCAAGTTCCGCTCCCATAGGCTGGACTCCTCGTCCTCAGGGGAGATAAGTATCCCTTATGGCTGTCTCCCAACAGCGGAGCCAAGACTGGGTTTGCCATCATCCATCACTTCAACACAGCCAAGTTTTCCAGGGAGGGAATGTGGCCTGAGCAATAGTATGACTCTCCCCAAAATCCGGACACCCAGCTCCCCAAGAGACAGTATCCAGCTAGCAAAGAGACATTACAGCCAGCCCCAGCCAGGTGCTCATCGCTTCCATCACATTACAAGCATAGAGATTGGCACCTTCCAGCCCATAACAGCCTCAACTCTCTGCCCAGCACCAGTGGAAGAGACAGACATTGATGGTGATGATCTTCTAGAGAAGATGGAGACAGAAGGATGCCCAGTGGGGGAAGAGACTGGGATGGGTGTGGAGACTGATCAGCATCCTGGTTCAGGCAAAAATGAATGTGGGAATTCTGAAGCTGGACCACTAGACCGAGGGGGCAAACCTCCCACTCCGCCACTGCACAGGTTTCCATCCTGGGTAAGAAATGCAGGTAGCACAACAAATTCTGTTCTGCTCACTTCTCATGTGTACTTGGGTGCGTTTGTCAGTAATGGTTGGGCCTGAGTTGCCTAGGTGAAAGGTTATGGTGACCTTGGTTCCTGGCATCTTTAGTTTAAAGTCAGCTGCCTTCACAAGTTATCAAGTAGCTCCAGATAATGGAACATACTGGTCACATGGGCAGTTTTTATTCTTCGTCCTTTCTTTAAAAAAAGAAAAAAAGACTCATTGGAAAAAATTCCCAGTAAAGAAACATTAATGGTGGAAGATCAAACTCATAAATCAAGAATTGCAAATCTGCAGTTGAAATTTCAT